CTGGTGGTGGTCAGAGGGCCCGGTGGCGCCTGTGTCCGGCAGCCTCGCCTAGCTTGCCATCGCCAGTGTGTGAATGGGTGAATGACTGAATGTAGTGTAAAGCGCTTTGGGGTCCTATGGACTAGAAAAGCGCTATACAAATGCAGGCCATTTACCATTTACCATAGTGGTAAAGTGGTAAGGGGTATACACCAGGCTATTGTAGACTCAGGGTGCACACAGACCTTGGTCCACCAAACTCTGGTTTGGCCCGGGGCATTGCTGAAGGTAGAGTGGGTGGAGGTTAAGTACATGCATGGGGACATACACAAATATCCTACTGTGCTGCCAGAAATTAAGTACAAGGACAAAAAGCGTAGTGGGAAGGCTGTGGTTAGGTCATGCCTGACACATCCTTTAATTCTGGGGACGGTTTGGCCATGATTTAAAAACCTGTTGGGGCAGTGTGTGGGGATGCATTCATGACCTGTAGCAGCATGTAGTGTATATGCTGTGTACAGCGGTGATCCGAGGCCATCCATCGCTGACTCTGGGGAGGAGACGGCACTGATTCACTCCATGGAAGATTTCCCACTACAGCAGTCTCATGACAAAACTCTATACTCAGCCTTTGACCAAGTGATAAAAATTACTGGTCACATGGTGTGCCCCGACACAGCACTGGCCTACCTGAATTTTGTATTAATCAGACATAGACTGTATTGGGTGAGTTGTAACAGTCGCACAGAAGAGGAACACACCCAGTTGTTGGTGCTTTAAAGCTTTTGGGAAATTCTCTGGTTAGCCTGGCGAAGGAGAGAGATGATAGTGCCAAATTCCACTATTCCCAACTCCCCCCATTGTAATGACCATCTCACACAAGCCCAGAGAATGGGTGTTGCTGCATTGCAACAGTGTTTTGCAGATGTGTTCTCCCCCCTGCCTGGCCACACTCAGAGCACAATTTTGAAATGTGTCCTGGTGAGATGGTGCATTCACAGCCCTACAGGTTACCTCAACATAAAGAAAAAATGTTCAGAAAGAAGTGCTTGGTTTAGCCCCATAGTTCTTATCTATACGGTTCTGTGGCGACTACCACAAGGTGAATTGTTACAGTTTGATGCATATGTCATGTCCCGGGTCAACAAGCTCCTGGATCAGATAGGCATTGCACCTTTTTCATGACACTGGAGTTAACCAGTGGCTACTGGCACATCCCCTTATCTCCAGAGTCTAAAGAAAGTCATTCTTCTCCACTCTGTACGATTTGTACCAATTTGTCACACTTTCGTTCAGCTTGTTCAGCAACTTTCCAGTGTCTCATGAACCTGGTGTATGACATCATCATCCATAGTGACACCTGTGCAGAGCATGTGCAGCAGGTGGCCATAGTCCTAGAGTCTCTGAGGCAGATGGGGCTCACAGCCAACCTGAAGAAGTGTGTGAGCAGACAAAGGGAAGGTACAGTATCTGGGGAGGTGAGCAAGTGGGCCTGCAGGAGGTGAAAACAACACCCATCGTATACTGCCCATGTCCCAAGACTAAAAAAAGAGGTGAGGCAGTTCTTGTGGCTGGCTGGTTATTGCCACCGGTTCATGCCAAACTTCGCAGAGCTGGCCAGCCTCTTGACTGCTCTAACCCAAAAGGGTGACCCAGATCTGATCCAGTGGACAGAGCAGTGCCAGACAGCGTTCATACAGGTGAAGAAGGCCCTCTGTGGGAAGCCTTGTTCCACATGAAAATCTCCACTGAGTGATCTTGGAAAAAAGCTGCAAATAAAACATAACTAGTACTCCAATAGTGTGTATGTATGGGTCCTTTGTGTCACACAGCCTTTAATGTGCATCATCTGTTATTGGGAGCTGTGTTGACACATCAACACATCAAAATACAGGTGTGTGTCTTTGATTTCTTTTATTGTTTTCCTTTTTCATTGTCCATTATTCTTAATCGTACTAAGGTGAAAAGCAAATACTAGCGTACTAGTAGCACTAATCCGCCCAGATGTATTTAATAAGTGACATGCATTAGTGTCACAGCCAAAAAGGCAAGCTGAGTGTTAAAAGGCACTTGATTTTTGCTTACCTTGATAATGTCTTCAGCTGTTCTCTCCACCTCTTTTAGCCGCTTCACCACAATTTCTTCATTGGCAGAGATATTGAGTTCTTGTGTTTCCAAGGCCTCAATCTCCTTCTCCATTCTGTACAGTTGAATATAATGAACAGTGTTAGCAAATACAAAAGGAAATCACTTGTGCATCCAAAACACTTGGATGTTAGGGTGTCTCTGAATAGCTTCAACAAGGTAAGTACAAGACTTTTAATATATGGCATTATGGGTTGTACTGGGTAGCTGTGTATTTTGCATTTTCAAAAGATTTTCAGTAAAATCATAATTCACATTGGCAGTAATGACACTCGGTTACGCCAATCGGAGGTCACTAAAATCAATATTGAATCGGTGTGCAACTTTGCCAAAACAATGTCGGACTCTGTAGTTTTCTCTGGTCCCCTCCCCAATCAGACCAGGAGTGACATGTTTAGCCGCATGTTCTCCTTAAATTGCTGGCTGTCTGAGTGG